GAGCCGCAAATCAATGCGGCCGAAACCACAAAACCAGTTTAGGACAACAGCCACGAAACGCATGCGTCTTTTGAATTAGGTCAGCAAGTACGAGCCAAAGAAATGAAGCGAAATAACCAAACAGCCATAAGACTCAGACCCAATGCAAGCCCACGAGTCAACAAAAAAAAAAGCACACACACACACACACAACAGCAGCAGCAGCAAAAAACAGGTGTAAGGCATGTGAATGAAAGTCGTTGGCTTCACTTTGGCATGCCTGGGATCGGAACAATGTGGCCAATGTTGTCGGAACTCAATTAGACACTATACCCAGTGCACTGTGCGTTCATTTTTTTTATCGATTTCAATTTCATTTACCTACGTTGTCAGCATATGATTAAATGCGCAGAACGCTCGCTTATTATCGGGTTTAAGTTTGCATACATATTGGCTGCATTCCTTGAATACTTTTTGGCAATTCGCTTTTTGGCTCGTCTCGCAATCTCATTTGCCAGTGAAAGTGACCGGTGCAAAAAAAAAAAAAAAACAACAACACAAAAATGAAGACATGGTAACAAAGACAAAGATTTAAGATATGGCTAAATCATACATATGACAGATGTTGTTAGCATTTAGCCAGGGTTTTTTTCTGTTATCTTTCATTATTTATATTTTCGTATTTACGAACGAAGTAATGTACATTTATTTTTCGTCATTCTGCGCCACAAATTTACCGAAAAGGAATAGTTTTCTGTGGTCGCAACTTGAATACTCTGTGAACATATATATGTATGTATCATACATACATATATGCTCATACATATGATAAAACACTTGTTGGATAACTATATGATCTTAATAGACTTAGTTGTCATAATGCATAAGATTTCTATGACATCTTTTTAAGTAGGCATTCAACGAATAAGATAATGCTGTTAAAGCTGATTATGGAAATCGATTTTAAGAATTTTCTCCAATTTTTACCCTGAACTTAGCGAAATTGCACTTACTTAATTTTTATGTTTAGGGAAACAAGGCCAATTATTAAATTTGAAATCATTAAGCTAAAAATATCGCACAAAGATACGATATACAATACAATTTTAAAAACAGGCTTTTAAGAAACGCAAGAAAATATGACTAAGAGTATAAAACCATCAACCTATTCGAAATATTACCATAGTCGAATCCAATATAAAGAAAATAAATAAAGAGAAAAAAACAGGTCTAAAACGTGCAACTTGAATTGGTTTCACTTTCGCGAGCAACCGAGATTCGGATTTGGGTCCATCAGCTCGCGAGTAATGCGCAAAATGCTGACTGCCAAGCGAATCAGCCAAAAGAGCTCGCGACCTAATGATGCTTTGGGCAGGCTCTATAGCCCAGTTCGCAGCCATGGCTCCAACTGATCAAACAGTTCAAACTGCTTATCAAATTCACACGCAGTCGTTAAACTCTAGACAAATTTCACGCGTTCGAAATGAAAGTGAAAATTTAAATTTAACTTCAGTCAGCAACTATCAGGCACACAGCGTCAGAAGGCGTAGCACATTCGTGCAGTTTTTATACTCGTGTAATTTCGACAATATTTCATATCAAATGTACAGAGTTAAGCATGTGCGAAGATGATGCTATTCATTTTTCGGGTTCACATTTATGTTGATAAACATTTCTTTGAGCCGTGCGCAGACAGTTCATACTTCTTAGAGTATGTATATGTAGAAGCGGCCATAGACATGTGTACATATATTGATGTCTAATACAATTTTTGGCAATATATTACCAACATGAATAAGAGGCATCAGCGAATGCGACGTCGCAGTTTGTCAAATGAAATGAAGAAGAAAGTCGAGTGAGTTTCTCATGCACATACATACATATGTTTATGTATATGTATATGTATATGTATATGTATATGTATATGTATATGTATATGTATATGTATATGTATATGTATATGTATATGTATATGTATATGTATATGTATATGTATATGTATATGTATATGTATATGTATGTATATGTATATGTATATGTATATGTATATGTATATGTATATGTATATGTATATGTATATGTATATGTATATGTATATGTATATGTATATGTATATGTATATGTATATGTATATGTATATGTATATGTATATGTATATGTATATGTATATGTATATGTATATGTATATGTATATGAATATGTATATGTATATGTATATGTATATGTATATGTATATGTATATGTATATGTATATGTATATGTATATGTATATGTATATGTATATGTATATGTATATGTATATGTATATGTATATGTATATGTATATGTATATGTATATGTATATGTATATGTATATGTATATGTATATGTATATGTATATGTATATGTATATGTATATGTATATGTATATGTATATGTATATGTATATGTATATGTATATGTATATGTATATGTATATGTATATGTATATGTATATGTATATGTATATGTATATGTATATGTATATGTATATGTATATGTATATGTATATGTATATATATATGTATATGTATATGTATATGTTATGTATATGTATATGTATATGAATATGTATATGTATATGAATATGTATATGTATATGCATATGTATATGTATATCTATATGTATATGTTTATGTATATGTATATGTATATGTATATGCATATGCATATGTATATGTATATGTATATGTATATGTATATGTATATGTATATGTATATGTATATGTATATGTATATGTATATGTATATGTATATGCATATGCATATGTATATGTGTATGTATATGCATATGCATATGTATATGTATATGTATATGTATATGTATATGTATATGTATATGTATATGTGAATGTGAATGTGTATGTATATGTATATGTATATGTATATGTATATGTATATGTATATGTTATGTAGATGTAGATGTATATGTATATGTATATGTATATGTATATGTAGATGTATATGTATATGTATATGTATATGTATATGTATACGTATATGTATATGTATATGTATACGTATATGTATATGTATATGTATATGGATATGTATACGTATATGTATATGTATATATTGTTGTTTTGTTGTTGCTATTGCTATTGAAGACTATTGTTGGCGTGATTTTTTCTTTTGGCTAGTATTGTCGCTGAAGTCGCTGCCCGCGTCGCTGTTGCTGCGACGTCCGCTTTCTATTTGCGTTTTGTTTATTGTTTACCTATGATAGGGTTAGATGAACGTATCAGTGTCTCAGGTGTGTGCATGTATGCGTGTGTGAGCTAAACGTAAAATCAATTGGCGCTGAATGAATTTTTATTTGGATTTACCAAATTTCAAGCAGAAAAATGCATAAATAATTCAAAAACGTCGACTGCATACAAATTTTGGCTTAAACTTTTTTCACTTTCCTAATAACACATATAATTTAAATTAATATATTGTATATATATATATATATAAATGTATATATTGTTTTCTACTGCTTTGTTTATTAAGTTAAACTAGCATTTCGTGGTGCTAAAATGTGTCAAAAGAGTCAATTAAAATGTGTGTTTTTATGGGCACTTGACCTTTTTACTTTTTGTTGCCACTCGATCCCAAGCGGCAGTGGCAGCCCCACACATACACACACAAACACACTTTCCAAAATACATATTGCTAATTAATGCCAAGACCTTGAAACGATGAACACTATAAACAAATTATTTACATAGTATTTTATAGACCTGGTAATGCGCTGCATAAATGCAATGGAGTAAGGCCTATAGTCTGCGAAAAGTGCAATGCTAAACCTATTAAAGCAACCTCAAGTTCCCATTCAGGGCCGTCCGGAGGCGAGCGAAAATTGCGTGCAATAAAACAATAATCCGCAAATAGCATTATGCACTAATTGTGCGGTACTTAAATTTTAATACCTGCACATATTAGAATGGATAACAAAATATTAAGTATACGACAGGTAATAGAATTTTCTATATTTGTAAATAAAATCCCCATATAGAAGAAAAGGCTGGCACAATGTAATTGGACAAATCTTATATGACAAAAAAAAAAAAACAATCAAACAAACGGACCTGTTATAATTATTACAAAAATTTGAAGATTCATACATGTATACGTTATTTAATGCATGACATTTATTCGTAAATATTTAAACGAAATGAAAAACCCGTTTCCTTAACTTCAATACAATAAAACAATAAAACTTTAAACAATACGATAAAAGGAACAAACAATTTTAACACATTAATAATGCATTTATTGCACAGTTTTACAGAAATTGGTAGTTTGCCGTTTTAGAGTCACTGTGACGCGCCCGAAGTTCACAGTCAGCTGTTAAACTCTTGCAACAAGGAAAGCGAGAAACGATAAAAAAAATTAAACATCATAACAATCTATGTTGGCAACGAAACAAGGAGAGCGTAAAAATTAAGGCAAAATAAACGACAACAGGCCAACATTATAAAATATTTTGAAAAAGTGTATTTGGAGAAAATTGTTAAATGTTTCACCTTGCAAATATGCGATGATAAAAATTGCAGATCGCAAAAACTAGCAACATAAACATAATAAATAAATGAAGGCTTCCGCTAACAAAAGCAGCAGCAGCAGCAGAAGCAGCAGCAGCGGCAGCGGCAGTGCCCACTGCTGCATGCACAACAACAACAACAAAAACTGCTCCAATGTCTGGCGGCAGCTGCTGCTGTTGTCGACGGCCGTTTGCTTTTTCACGCTACCTGCACAAAAGCAATGGCCAACAGCGCGGCCGCAGCCACTGGCGACCAATTTCACTTTCGTTTTCTTTTGGCTTTGCAGCGAAATGAAAAGCGAGCCACAGCAACGGCAGCAAAAGCCAAAGTCACGCAGACGCATTAGCGGCAAACAGTCTGAGCATGCGCAATACACTCTTGTTAAATGCTCGATCAACGGGTTCGCCACCAATTGGCAGCTGGCCACTGCCAACTGGGATCGTCGATGTCATCGTCGCTGGTTTTTTTACTCACCAGCAGGCTGAGGTTATCCTGGTTAGTGCCGAGACTTAATCCATAAAAGCGACGAGCCAATTGCGGATTGTGTGTGTGTGCGTATTTCCTAGCATGTCCTTCAGCGGGCGCTGGACCAACTGACAGGTGGCTGCTCTGCCGACGCAAGCTGGGGTTTAGGAATAACCGACAAATAAATTTGTGCGCTTGTTGGCGACGCGAACCGCACGCGACTCGACCGGAAGTACTTAAGCAGGCCATTTGTTTATTTCGATTTATTTTGATATGATTTTGTTGATTTGGGTTTTTTATTTATCCGTTTAAAACGAGGGCCTCTCGTTAAATGAATCAAACCCCTTGCAATTAAAATTGCAAAGCTTCGCTGCTCCAAGCCTACAAATTGTGATGAAACATGAACAAATATTTGTTAAACTTCGAACAGCATTATTATAGGCTTATGTTCCGATTCAAAATAGACGACACAGAAACAGAATACAGAAATATGCACAGACACAGATACATATACAGACGTACACAACACGCGCAATAACGAACGACGACGGGACAAAGATTGGAGACAGGCAAAGCGCGGTGCTTGCGTCCAACTGCAGCAGCTTCAGTGAAGTGTTTCGCGTTTTACTGCTGTCTGCGCACGTAGCTTGCCTGGCTACGCCTGCGCGGCCGTTGCTATTTGTGTGGTGAGTTTGTATGGGAGTGTGTTGAAATGCGACAACCAGACGAAAAGACGAAAACCGAGCGCGCTGATTTTGAACTTGACGTTGGTTGGCTTAAGATTCGGCGGCAAATGAAAGCTGCATGTCTATTGCGCAGTTTGAGATGCACTGCCCCAGCCTTGCCTGGACGTTTTTTACTGGAATTCCCTGCGTCTGCTGTCTGTCAAGACGCCTGTTGCATGGCTAAAGGCAGCATATTTTACGTTCTTCCAGATACACTAGAAAAGTTACATATGACTTGTTTGTGCACGTATTAAGTTAGTCTTGCTTTTTATTTAACACATTTCTTAAACTTGATGTCACAGAACTTTTTGTTTTGACGTAATAATGCAAGAACAGCTGTGCAGGCCGCCGCCTGGAAAAAATACCAGAGCTGACAACCTACGTTCGACAATCAAACAGTCGTCGTGCACTCTCAACTTATCGATAACATAATTACGATAATTCAACATTATATTTAAACTTTCCCTTATTTAACAAATGTTAATCAATTCAACGAGTTCGTAAATCAAAATGTTTCGTAAATTGTGTACCTGTTTATTTATGTTCAAAGCTTAAACAATAACCTGACACAAAGGCGATATATCGCAAGGAACATTATTTAGAAACTTTTTTAACATCGATAAGAGTCGGTCCCATCCCTACATTTACATAAACTCATTTGTCCAATTACAGTTTAAGCATGTCTCGTAATTTCATTATATCAATTACAAACTTTTTCAATAATTTGGAACGCCTGTTTTTGCCCAACTTTGGACCCCCACCCTCGTTGGCCTATTTAGTGCACCAACAGCACAGTCCGAGAACCAACTCCTCACAGAAATTAAGCCTTAAGAATCTTTTGGGCGATGGCGTGCTCTGGGCAGTACCAAAGCACCGTAGAAGTGTAGAGAAACGTCTAAATCGAAAATTTGGCTATCCAGAGTATGTATGGAAGCCACTGCGGGAGAAGAAGAACCTGCGACCTTGCCAGCAATGCGGTCACGATCATGAATTGGGAGTCCTGTGTCGTAAGTTGTCTTAGTCCAAAAAACAAATTCGTACTTATTTCAAATATTACAGCTCACTGTTATGATAAAGTGCGACAGGAAACTCAGCTCATGCAGGATAAAATACAAAGTCAGTTAGGTCTAGAGCCAATCGAGCAGGAGGTGATTGTCTTATACGCAGGCGAGACGGCAGAACAAGCGACAGATGCAATTAGCGGCAAACGCATAATAGAAATGAAAAAGCCGCGTCCAATGTGGTTCACAAAAAATCTGTTGCAAAAATCCACGCAGCAATCATCGGAAACCAAAGAAGTTAAGCCCTCAGATTTGGCATAAGCTTTGCCGCTATTACGTCATGAATAAAATTCCTCTGAGCAGAATTTGTTAACAGAAGACAACTTGTTTATTTTGCGTAAATTGCACCGATTGTGCCCGTTTAAGGAATCCATTGTTAAAATCGTGCGCGCTCATTGGTTTTTTACCCTCGATTCGTAGCTGCAACACCTCCAGCTGGGTCCCCCGTGCACAACCAACTATCAAAGATTTTCGGACACGATTGTAGTAAATGTATCCCGGAGCTGGGTTAGGAGACGCCGATAGTTGCAGTTCGGGTTGTTTTAGCTCTAGTAGGTATACTGTTCTGTCCTGTAAGGTTGTTGTTAGGTTCTTAAACCCGTAAAGTGCACGATGACGGGCGAACAGCTCCATGGCAGTTTGTTCACACCAATCGATTGCGGTAATTCGGGACGTAATCTTTGGAGCTATGCGATTAAATGTTATCAATATGGGACTCAATTGAATATATGAAATATTTACCATAGCTGGCCTCTGTATCGTTTTGCGGCTTCGCTTTTAAAAGTCTCTCTTCCAAGTCATTGATTGTGTCCACAAGCAAATCGGCACCCAATTGCGACAAGGCATCATGAAGCTCTGGCATATAGACATTGCTTTTAATAGGTATTTCACGTTGCGCCAATATCTGGAAAAATAAAGCAAGTAGAGTTGTGCGAATTCGTTTGCGGATAGTTTGTACTTACGGGCCCAATATCAAATTGATGTGGCTCTATTTTCATTATGGATATGCCCGTTTTGGTATCGCCTTCCATAATAGCATACATAATCGGTGCAGCACCCCGCCACCGGGGCAGCAAACTGGCATGAACATTGATTATCCCGCGGGGAAGAGCGTTTATAATATGCAATGGTATCATATGTCCAAAAGACACCACAACACCAAGCTCGAAATCAGCACACTGCTCCACCGATATTGGCCATCGGTATATAGAAAGTTTTTGCGCCTCGGCATAACTGCGCACACAGTTTGCGGGACTCTTAAAGGAGGTAACGACGGTAACGTCCAATTTGTTCTGGTGCAATTTTTTTAAACTTGGCAACGAAAAGTTGTCAGTACCAAAAAACAAAACTTTGGGTAACCGAGAAGTTCCTATACACCGTCTAATACTCTGAGAAATGTTTGAAAAAACTTTTCTCTTATATTTAAAGAAATTATTAGCTAAACTTTTACCGCATAACATTGTTACAGCTGTTTTGCAATAACAGCCGTGTGCTCCCTTTTTCAGTGCATTGGTTAACCCCGTTAAGAAACGTCTAAATAAGTTGAGGGAGGTGTCTGTTTCACTTAATTTTTACCAGAATTCCATTTCCTGCAATGGAACTTGACTTTATTGAGTATTTTATTAAATATAAGCAAATAATAGTTGCCGATAACGTGGTGGCGGCAATCTTCGAGTGTTGTGCAGCAACAATATTAAGAGACGATGAATGTTCGAAAATTTGTAACTATCGTCTACTCTGCGATACCGATGTGCGAATGAGGGCTGCATACTATTGCTTACGAGTCATTGTACATAAATGGAAGAATTATTTATAATTGTTTATCAATTTATCCTGACCAATCCCAGAATTTAAAAGTTATTTTATGGTTTTTATACAATAGCCAAATCTATTAAATATTACAATACTATAACATTTAGCACTATAGGAAGAATCAGTAGGAAATGTTATTATATGTTCCAAGACATTTTCCTTAAGCTCAGCAACGAGCTCGAAAATTTATCTAACGGTAAAGTCTGAAATCGATCCTTATTGGTTGCATCATATTGTTTTTATACTAAGAAATTGACGAAGATGGCAGCTCTGGAGCCAGTTGGTAACGTTGTAAATACATCGATATGACATATCGATAGAAGACATTCGTCATTGCAAATTGCAATTCAGATAAATGAAAACAGATTGTCTATAATAATGTGCTTGAACATTTTTGTACATTGAATTGAGAGCGTATATTAAAAAGGCTCACAATGGAAACCAAAGCTGCCAAACTTATATTACCTTCCCCGGATAGCTCCAGTTCAACTTCCAGTAACAAAATGAATTACGCATTGCAAGTAGCGTTGCAGACAATGAAAGAGCGATGCATACAGTTGCAACGACGCGTGTCCAACATGGAGGAGGAGAACCAGCGTCTGCGTGAGGCCACCATTGGGTCTGCGTCCCCCAATAACAGTAATCAGGAAAAAACAGATTGCGGTGACGATGCTATATCGCTTCGTTCCCGTTTAGATGAACTTCAACGCCAAAAAGAGCAGCTTGAGGATCAAATTTACATGGTGTCGCATGAGAATCGCAGGCTTTGGTCGCACCTTTCGAAAATATCCAAGGACCAGCCACAAGTAACGAATGACGACGAAGTAACGATTACGTCTCATACTGTTGGCGCGGGGTCAGTTTCTATTGGTGCCAATCAAAACCTGATTCGTTCTAAAACATTTACTCAGCATTCGCCAAATCCACGCTTGCGTCAAAAGATGATAAGTGAAGTCAGTCTTGAAGAGATTCCACTAGACGAATTTGGTTCTAGTGAGGTGGAACTAGGTTATCCGTGTGGAATGAATGTAGAAGGTGAAAATACTATTAATGACCTGGATGCCAATGTCGATGCTAAGCAGTGCATGGATGGCCTGCAGGACTTGCGGCGTGAAGCCATGAAGCAGCAAGAAGAGCTAAATTCAGCGCTTAGAAAACTAGAAACGCGTATCGGTAAGTCCTTGATTTGTACCATAGAGGTGAACTGTAAGTTTTCTAAATTATCTTATCGCAGCTGGTTATCCCTGTCCTGAGTGCGCTCAAAAGAATGTAAACAGGCCTGAAATGGCAGATAAAAGTTTGGAAACGGAAGAGCGCAGTGAGCCCAAACGAAATGTCAACGTAAACGCAACAGGTGAAACATTTAACGGGCATGCAAACACATCGCCCTTGCTGTCGCCCCACTTCAACACCATACAAGAAAAGCTTAAGGCTGACATCATAGACAAGACGTGCCCCATGTGTGGCAAACTATACTCTAGCCAAGTTTCCTTTAAGGCATTTCAGGAGCATGTCGAAATGCACTTTATAGACGACACGCTGGATGTGGACGGCAGCATGGAACGGCAGTTCGAGTTCATTTCGCATGCAGTGGGGGATTTCTGACCAAACAAACTTATCTACTTTGCCACGGAACTCTAACAGCGACAAATATAATTTGTTTTATTATGTAACACTGCAATTGGCATTGTAGACGGTATTGCAGTTAAACAACAGTTGGGCGCAGCTGCGATCGTTTAACGTGTTAATATAGACTAAGAAGGCAAATATCAAAAATTGATTGTTAAATTGATGTTTTTGGATTTAGAACGGAAATTTAAATATAGTATTAATGTATATCTAATTATGGTTAATATATCTTTAAAATATTGGAACATCACATTGGAAATCACTTTGTCTTTAAGGAAGCTGAATTGTCCACCAATCACCATCAATAGGGCCCTTATACCAACGAATCCTACAATTAAATATCTCGGCTTGACATTGGACGGGAAGCTGACTAGGAAAACTAGGATTAACGCCTAAACAAAAGCAGTTAGCCTTAAATTTGATCAGATCGCAGATTACTCTAAAGAACAAGCTCCGAATTAACAAAGCCATTATCAAAAATATGTGGACGAATAAAGTTCAGCTCTGAGGCGACACTTAACTCTCGAATATTGAAATTCTATAGCAAATCGCCGCGTTGCCTGTGCCCACCCAATTTATAAAGAATTACACATACCAACCGTGGCCACACAGTGCGACGCTGGCGCAGAACCCATCTACTAGGTCTCCCCTTCCGACTCCACTCATTGTGGACGCCACCCTATCATTGAAAATTTATAATGCAATTGTTTCTCCCTTGTAAAATGTTCTTACTTCTTTGTTAGCTACCGATACCTTTTGAAGTAAATGTAGCGGTAAAAATGAGAGAATGTAAAATTTCACACTTTTCTACCCGCTTTTTGGGCAATAATTAAATTATTTCGGTAAAACGTTGACAGTTAAGTATTACGTGCCTGTTTAGTGTAGGGGGAACAGGGAAAGGGCTGGAGTCAAATATATACTCTAACTTTTGGACCGTTGCTGTGAGATCTATATGATACAGTGGGTCAATGTTGATAGGATTTGGTATATATGTTATACGTTTGCACCAAATCATTATACCCTTTTAACCCAATTTCAATGGGCATAGGGTATAACAGTAAGAAGCGTAGCCGATTAAGGTGAACCTTTGCAGACGATAGTAACATTTTAAATAATTCTAAAGATCTGTTAAAATAAATAGTCATTTTCATTTTCCTGTGCAGCTGAAAGCAATACACAATCATTATTTCACAAAAACTTTTAATCCCTGACATCCTCAGTATTTCATTTTAAATCCGATTGGGAACTGATTTCCCAAATGGTTTATTCAGCGAGTGTTGCGGTTGCGCTGGTATAAAAGTTTAAGAGCGCATTAAAGTCACCTCAGTTGTGCTTAACCAGTAGCCGCAAAAGCCAAAGCTGTCGTTTTTCCAGACAAAAGACAAAATATTTTAACATACGGCTTACGTGTATAAAAGAAGTAATAATAATGTATCCAAATATTTTCAACAAATTGTTTTTATTGCTGCCACTTGCGTATCGGCCTCCAACAAATGGTAATAGATGAAGAAATGTCAAAAAGTGATTAGCTATCAAACTAAATTACTTGAATATTCGTTTAAATTTTATTAAAATAAAAAAATAAACAATAAATTATTGTGACAAGCCGCATTTAGGAACTGCAAGAAAGTGAAAACTAATGAATTCAACGGTTTGCCTTTGAAACACTCCTTATATTTTTCAGATGATGATAGGTTACCGAACGCAGATTGGAACTTTGTTGAAAACGGTGCAGATTGGGAAGGCACATGCGCGACAGGTCTTAGACAGGCACCTATTAAGCTATCTGTGGATAGTGTAAGTAAATTTCCTGAGAATTGAATACTCTAATTGTCTGATTGCACATTGAAAAAGTGTATATTGTGATTGTGCACATGAGTTAGATCTACCACAAGCTTAAAATAATTGAAGGTTTCTAAAGATTTACCAAAAAAGTTGTTCGCACTTTTATAAATCGAATAAGAGCACTCTAGACGGCAGTGTTCGACTAGGGGATGCTTTAAAAGTTATTCTTCCAAGACCAAATGCAGTATGCGCTAGAGTTGGTGGGATCGATATCGATCATGGCAATAAACTCGTACAGCGCAAGTTTCTAGCTGCTTTAGATTCTGAGATCGACGCGTGCATACATATATTCAGGCGGACAGACAGACGGGCATGGCTAGATCGACTCGGCTATTCATGCTGATCAAGAATATATATGCTTAATGTGCCCCCCCTCGCTGATGCTTCATTCTGCCTGCTACATAGATGGGCAAAAACAGTATACCCTTTTTACACAGTTTATAAAAAGTTCACACTCACCAAACTTAAGTTTTGAGCTTGATAGGCCATTGGATAGAGTATTTGGCACTCGGTAACATTCTCAAATTCGATAATAGAACGCAAAGCAAATCTGCAAGCCATAAAACAAAATTTGATTACGAAATGCGTTAACATACACAGACGGCTAAGTGCAATATATTACATGGCACATAATATCTGTTGTTTCCGTTATAAACGGTGACAGCTAATTTGATAAATGGTGCGCCGGTGCATTATGCTTCAAATTGTACACAATTTTGCGCTACTTTTCACTATTAGCCTTATCTGCACAAATTGGATGAGATTGTTTGCCCGGTGTGTGTGGAAGATACATATGTACTTCATTTAATGACATGCCTTTTATAACTAGTCGCTCATCGCGCCGCTACCACGAATTTTGTTTGAAAATTATGACGAAAAGCTCAATAGTCCGCTGACACTGATTAACAAAGGCTACACAGGTAATTTTATAAAATATATATTTTTTGTATAAATATGTTTGAATGATATGTTTCGGCGTTGCAAACATCAGTTAAAATGGCCATACCGGCAACAAGGAATGGAAGGAAGCCTTTCATTACAGGCGGGCTACTCAAGGGGAAATATGTAGCCGATGGCGTTCATTTCCATTGGGGATCGCCCGAATCACGTGGAGCTGAGCATCTGATAGAAAGGACACGCCATGATGTGGAAATGCATATTGTGCATCGGAATTTGCGCTACAAGGACATGGCTGAAGCTATACATCACGCCGATGGCATAGCGGTACTGGGTATTATGTTTAAGATAGTCAAAGTGAGTTGCTAACGGTAACCTTTATAAAATCAACAACTTATATGTTATGTTTCAAGAATCCGGCTCGCGTGTATCCGGGCCTAAAAAAAATATTTACAGCCCTACCAAACATAGTCGAATATCATGGCGAGACTGAGCTGCTTGGACCTCTTACCCTCGGCCAGTTGTTGGGTGATTTGAATACGCATCACTTTTACACCTACAAGGGCTCGTTGACTACACCTGGTTGCAACGAGGCTGTTATTTGGACGGTGTTTGCTCGCCCTTTGCCCATACCGTTGTCGGATATACATAATTTATGGCAGCTCCAGGACTCAAATGGAAATCCTATACGAAATAACTATCGTGAACTGCAACCGCGCAACAATCGGCATGTTTTCTACCGCGCCAATAAAGACGTGAATGACTTCTACCTTGGCTAGTAAGCTCGGTCCATGGATTGTTATTATATGAGTTGGTTTTACTATTTATATGCAAACCCAAACTGGCCTGCATTTATGATTTGCAAGAAATATTTTTTCTTTTGTTTTAAGGCCTGACTATATTTCTTATAATCAGCTCAGCAAAAGAAATTAAAGCCATTGTCGTAAGGATGCAAGCTCTTCAATTCCCTCGATTATCGAAAAGTTCTTAAATTCTTATGCTTGTTACAAAACAATTAATTGTATTTCTTTTATTTATTATGTATTGGATTGGTTTATTATTAAACTAATATAAACTGAAATTAAAAAATTAAGTATTTAAGAGGAGAAACCATGTATATTGTTATTTTGGTTTCCGTGAAAAAAAAAAAAAATTATTTTTACGCTTCGCTCTTTTAAATCAACATTCAAGGATTATAAAACCTATAACCCTTAGATTTTAAATTAGGATCCGATCTCATTTAGATTACACAAATGAAGACTCTATTGTTAAATAAATACATTTACAATTGGAAATTTTATATTAAAACAATGAAGAACTTCTAGTCGGGAGCTCCCGACTAGGGGCTACTCTGAACCCTTTTCTTCCAACATCAACATCAAGTTTGGTGACTCTTAAAATTGCCCCAAAAACAGGATATCGATATCGATTTTTATCGATTGCTTGGAAACGGGGTAAGTAATCGATTATCGCAAACAAACTCGATCTGCGCAGGCACTAGGAGCACCTACATCTAAAAGTCTAAAGGGGTATCCCCCTGTACCCTCTTCTACCAACTTCAATTGCAGCCCGTGCTAGAAGCTCGTTTGCTTTAGCAGTAATAAAAATAATTTAAAAAAAAGTTCCCTCCATTGGATTTGAGCCCGTAACCGACTGCATTAATTCCTACCTCGTTGTAAAGAATAAATTGGTATCTGATTTTACGGTTCTTGTCGTTGGCCACAGGCTATAATAGAGAGTTTTGATATTACTTTGCACAGAATTTGGAGTCTTTTCATAGTAAGAGTCTATCCTGTCCATCGTCAAAGTTCGTGTTCTCATGTGTTTCTATGGCATGGGGCTAATGCGATTGGGATCACGATCGGTGGCTCAGCTGAAGTTTGGTTATCGGTGCATTTATGAAATGAAACTTTCGTATTTTAAAGTTTGCGCCTAAGCATAGAGATAATTGTTAGTATTTTTTTTTGTTCAAGATCACCAGAGCATCTTCATGATGTCGTTGATGTTACTTTAGACAGTTGTTTACCAAGTTTACGCTTTGATCACCTCCAACGATTTTCGCGCTACTATGACTAGGGTTAATGTTCATATTTTTTGGATTTTCGGACATACATTCTAGCTCCCTTCTAAAGATACATTCACAAAATAACAAATACACACATACGTGTATACAAACATATCTCATGGGAAGACGCGAAAATTATCATCATACCGAAACCAGGCAGAGGGAGCACATCCTAACCGTGGCCTGCACAGACGAGACCCCAGAACTGTGAAGATATACCACAAGCATTCCCTCTGGGAAAGTATGCGATATGGACATGGTAGTGGACACTCGCGAAGTTTCCCTCAACTCCAATTGTTCAAAGATGTCGAGTGGAGTCTGGATTGCACTCGGAAAGTTTTAAGAGGCTTAATTGTGCGCAATTTAAGTGTGAAAAAAGTCTTGTCGAACAACAGGACAACTGACCAATACGAGACTTCCAAAACAGTGAAAAGCTAGAGAGAAGGAGAAAGAAAACCCCAAAATATTAAATTAACTGAGGGTACAGAGCATTTTTAGTCCGACTACAGCATTCTTTCATGTTTTATTTATCAACAAGCTATAACTTAAAAGTTAAGTCAGAGCTTTAATTAGAGAGTGAACTGTCCTTAACGACTTTTAAAGTACCTCATTTTGTTAATTATATATCATTTTAAGTTAGTAGTTACGTGTAGCTCTAACGATATTCCATCCCTACCAAGTTCTTTGTTTTAAATAACATTTATAACTCATTACTAAAATGTTACCCTATCAAAATAGTATTTGTGGGGTAAATATCCAATATTAACGCCTTGTAAGCATAATTTGAATCCTAGGCGTATGCGTTCTCTAGGATTTTGTTCAAGCCACAGGGCATTACTACATTATTTATGAAGATATATTAAAAAGGAAAAAACATGAAAAGCTTTATTTAACAAGTAAGAGGCTTTAGTCGGAAGATTGGGATCCCAATTTAAACCTCGTAGGACGAAAAGAAGAAATGGCTTCTGAACTGATTCAATATGATCCTGGCTATTATTATATTGCGGCAACCAGATGCAAGAGCTGTATTCAAGGATAGGAGGAACAAGAGAGACGTAGAGTAGTTTGGATATAAAAGGATCGTTAAAATCCTTAGAACAACGTTTGATGAATCCGAGTGGCCTCATTAAGGATGGTATTTATATAAAGATTGAAACAGAGCTTAGTGCACCTATTTGAGATATTTCACTCAGTTTGCCCCATCCTGAATAAATTAAAAAAAAAAAAAGTGTGTTAAATTAGTCCTAGCTATCAAACAATAGTGAAAAACTGTAAATTGTACTATATTATTTTACCTCCTACCAAAGCAAAGCTAATTGACAAATATCTTTATAATATTTTATCTTGTATGTTTATTAAAGATTGCGAGAATACATTACTCTGGTTGGAAATAATAAATGAAATGTGTATAGTTTAATTAAAGAACAGCTAGAAAACCGATTTTCAATTAATGGCCGCGACTTCTTAATGAAACCCATCTAGAAGTCCACTGAACGTGAACCAGATTTTACAGCTCTCTATTTAATTAGAAGAACGTTTGGCGCGCCAGTATCAGGCGTTTAGCTGGTTTGGGCACTGGGGAGGACCCAATGCAAATTGTAAAACACGTTGCAAATTCTATGCAAATTTGCAGTTTGGCCTAACAAGTGCACAGTGAAAGAACCGAAGCAGGAACGTCGTTCTTATCGATAATGATGCTGCCGCTTAGCAGGTTCTGCACCTATAAATTGTTGTGCCCGAGCAGAGGATTGTTGCAGTCTGGTTGCAAGCCTTACCCAGAGCGCATATAGCTAGTATTTTGTTATTGTACAGTAACATCTAAAAATGTTTATTTCAAGAAATTGGGGACTTGAGCTCTGGCTCCAGTTCCTTTTGCTGGCAGTACTCAATTTTACCTGTTCTCCAGGCTTTGTTCGTACGTTTTAATTGTTTTCAACATGTTTGCAATGGTTAATTTATTTAGTGTGATTCTTTTCGACCCGTAGAACTGTCGAATGAATATATCAATGACATAAAAGCCGATGAAGCAGCCGAGCAAGCAAATGGAGAGTATAACTATGATCAACAAGGCAATGATTGGCAGGGAACATGCCAAGATGGACTGCAGCAATCGCCCATTGAATTAATCTATAGCAAGGTAAGTATCAAGTTAACTTCAGTGTTCCAGACTTTCTAGTCTGTGCCATCTCTTAACAGGCAAATGTGACCTCCATATCTCGTATACGGTTTTACAACTACGATCAGCCATTGCAGTCGCCTCTAGTCCTAACAAACAACGGACATACAGGTGTGCGAATATTTCATTTGATTGCTATCAGAATATCTAAGCATATTGAAATTAACTTCAGCGAACATGGTTTTGCCACCCACACGTAATGGGCAGCGTGCATACATCAATGGTGGCTTATTGCCGGGCAGCTTTGAGGCACAAAGTGTTCACTTTCATTGGGGTTCCCCCAACAGCAAGGGATCCGAGCATACTATCAATTATGAGCGTTACGATGTCGAAATGCACATTGTTCATAAAAATACTCGATATGCCGATAAAACTGTGGGCGAAGCCAGCATGTTTGCGGATGGTCTGGCTGTTCTGGGTGTAATGTTTAAGGCTGTGCCAAGGCTGTCATCGCAGCATACCGGGCTAGTTAGGATCTTTAATCAGTTACCCCTGATTACTGAATACCAGTCCAGTACAATGGTTAATGGACGATTAACCGCAGGCCAGTTGCTGGGCAACATTATCACTGGCAGGTTTTACTCATATAACGGTCTGTATTCAAAATAAATGTATATTGTATATTGCTACAAACATTATTAAATCAAGTATATATGTAGGATCATTGACCACGCCTGACTGCGCCGAGTCAGTTACTTGGACTGTTTTCCAGGATGTTGTCGAGCTGCCTAGACGACAGATCATGAAACTTTGGAATTTGCAGGACTCACGCAGGTATCCTTTAATAAACACATACCGCGATATACAGGATACAAATGGTAGACCAGTTTACTACAGAAATCTCCAATAAAAATGTATATAAAAATTAAAAAAAAAAAATAACACCTAACACCTTTGAGTGTTAACAAAAATATACTTGACATATGCAACTAAAAAACTCTTGAGTTTGACATTTAATTATAAAATAATAACTAAATTTCAAATGAAACTAATTTGGTAGACATTCTCAAATGAATTACATATTGAGAAACTATGCAAAGTTAAGTCATTTCAATTATGATCAACACGGAAAGGACTGGCAAGTGAACGGTGGCAAGCAACAATCGCCTATTTCTTTGATTAAAGACAAAGTAAATTCTCATTTTTTGGTTAAATTTTTGTAAATTGAACAAATATTCATTAGGCTGTTTTGTCCAAGGCGCCAAAGTTAAGCTTTCTTAACTATAACAAGACATTTTCCGGCCCTCTAAATTTAATCAACAATGGACACACCGTGACAATGGCAATACCGCCCATAGATGATGGAAGGCAGCCAGCTATTTGTGGATGTAAGCTGAAAAGCCTATATAAAGCCGTGCAGCTACATTTTCACTGGGGTTCACTGGAAAACAAAGGCTCCGAGCACACCATAAACTACCAGCGATATGATGGCGAACTGCACATACTTCATCAGAATAGTGCATACAAGGAGCAAAAGGAAGCCATTCGCTTTCCCGATGGCTTCGTGGTATTGGCGGTAATGTTGAAAATTGTACAGGTAAGCTTGGCGCATTGCATTATATTGGCGTAGTTAGATAATTATATTTGTATTATTAAGGGGCCCAAAATTCAGCCACGGGCCTTAAATCAAATTTGTAGTGAGGCGGCAATGGTTAGGGATTTTAATAAAGCTTCAACATTCGTTGCTAATTTTACCTTAAGGGATGTTTTAACTGGCATAGAAAGGCAAGAGTTTTTTACCTATATGGGTCAGTATTGTTATTATTGACGTGTCATATCGAACGAAATTACGCAAATGTATTTTTTTTTTTTTTATAGGCTCGCTTACAACACCACCTTGCTCTGAGGTCGTCAATTGGTTTGTCTTCCCAAAACATATTGAAATTTCAAAAAAATATGTAAGCTAAACAGCCGTTTATTAAGTATTCCACTATTAATATACAACATGGTAGTTGCAAAACCTGTGGCTGTTGACAGACGAGCGCGGCAAGCCTCTGGTCAACAATTATCGCAATTTACAACGTCTATGCAATCGTACTGTGTATTATCGAAATGCAAGCAAATGAATACTGCACAATAATTGAGATGCAACTTACGGCTACTCTAATGCTCATCGCTTGTTGCAGCAAGTTGCATCAACAATTATCGATTTAAAAAGCATCGCAAATGCATTAAACTGGAAAGGTGCCCTAATTGAACTGTGCTTGCATTCGAAACGTAAATAGGTATCGGTAATAGCTATTTTTAATAATACATATAAATTATTTTTACTGGCTTTGTATTACTGAATGCCTATATATAGTATATTTATGTATTCCACAACTTGCACAAATCAAATTGCTGTCTACCAACAATAAAAATTCATAGTCCTTCCGAAAACAATTGCGCTCTTCTCACTTTCATATTATTATAGTGTCATTCTTTTAAAATAAAAATATCAAAGTGCCAAAACAATAAAAAAAAAAAAAAAAACACCAGATCTCATGAAATAAAATAAAAAAAAGTGCAGATACATTCAAGATGCAATGCGAGGACACTAAGAGACGTGATAAGTTGCCCATCGTCTACTCCAAGAATTATTCCGTGCGCTTTGCTGGCCTTGAAAAGCTTCATCCTTTCGATGCAGCCAAAGGAAAGCATATACAACGGGTACATACATATATACATAGCTATCCATAAAGTATAAATACCTTTTTATTGCGTTATGCTTTCAGTTGCTATGTGCTGAACTGTCGCTTGAGTGCGGTGATTTCTATGACCCACTTGAGATTACCAAAACAGAATTGCTACGAGTACACACTTCCAAGTATTTAAAGTCCCTCAAATGGAGTGCCAACGTAGCTTGTATCGCGGAGGTTCCGGTCTTGATGTTTTTGCCAAATTTCACAGTACAAAGTGGATATCTGCGTCCAATGCGTTACCAAACGGCTGGCTCAATACTGGCTGGTAAACTAGCCCTGGAATATGGTTGGGCCATTAACTTGGGCGGTGGATTCCATCATTGCTGCTCGTACAAGGGCGGTGGCTTTTGTCCTTATGCAGATATTACTTTGCTCCTTGTACGGTTGTTTGAGTTGGAGTCATCCAGAGTACAGAATGCAATGATTGTTGACTTGGATGCACACCAGGGGAATGGCCATGAGCGGGACTTTAAGAATATAGAGGCTGTCTACATACTTGATATGTACAATGCGTTTGTTTATCCAAAGGATCACGAAGCCAAGCTCAGCATTCGTTGCGGTGTAGAGTTAAAGCATTTGACAGAAGATGCTTACTACTTAAGGCAATTGAGCCGATGTCTGATGCAAGCACTCGCCGAATTTAAGCCAGATGTTGTTATTTATAATGCCGGCACCGATATCCTCAAAGGTGATCCGTTGGGTAATTTAGCCATTAGCGCGGACGGCGTTATTGAACGCGATCGCTTGGTGTTTAGTACGTTTCGAGCGCTGGGTATACCTATCGTTATGTTGCTTAGCGGAGGCTACATGAATTCATCTAAGCATGTAATAGCAGATTCAATTGTAAATCTGCAACGAAAGGGATGGTTAAGTTTGCATTCTTAACTACATAAGGCCATGACTGTAATTTCACTTAAAACTGTACAAATATTGGACACTGTAAGAACGAATACCTCATAAGGAGAAACAATGTGCTGTGAGAAATTGTTAACTGTGCGGTATTACATAGAACGACTGGACGTTAAAAATGAACAACAAAATATTTAAAAACAAATCTTAATCATTTTAAATCTCCTTTTTTTTATAATTAAACATTAAACTAATCATAAAGATTATGAATTAACTGCGGCTTTATTTATTAGCCTCCTTATAGATTCAGTTTTCTGGTTATATTTATAAATTCTAGTATTAAGCAAACAAGACAGGACAAGAAACAAATACATTTGCATAAATATCATTTAATTGCTAATTATGATACAAATATACACTAATTGCTTGTAACGTCTTTGAAATACAAAAGTGTACAAAAACAAATATTTATTTTCTAGCACTTAAAGTATCTGTTAGACTTTTTTTAAGTTATTATGGGTTATATATAATTGTTATTTATAATTCCTATAAAATTATTCAAGTATTTTTGAGTTTTTTCTTATATTAGCTTTTCCTATTAGTTAGGGAGCTTCCCGATTGTCCTGCCACTAACAGGCCGTTGGCGGTGGCAATCTAGAATTGCAAGTTAAATGAGGGTAATACAAAAGTTAATTATAAATTTTAATCGGATCACTAAATATTTTGAAGTGAGAATTGCATGCACAGCTTAGAGTTATGTAATGAAGGCGCTCTTGTGGTTTTTGCTGCAGGGCCGACTTCAAATACATCAATTAAATAATCTAAAAATAACAAAGTTAGTTGAAAATTATGAAAAAATAGAAGGATTTGAAAGCAAAATATTCTGTGAAAAATACATGAAAGTAATAGCGATATGATGTAGCGATAGCGATAGCAATGCAACAGAATGAAAGGTTACGTTCTTTTTTTTCAACTTACGCCGCATTACTAGCAGGCACATCTTCAAAGAGCACTTCCCAGCGTGAGCTGATAATATATATTAAGCAGAAGGAAATTATAAACACCACGATTCCAATGCTTAGAGTGGTTATTTCATGCACATTTGACGGACGTAGGAATATACGTGCGCTGAACTGTGACCAAGTGGACTCAGTCCATGTAGAGTATTGGCCTGAACGCCAATCGTAGTCTGTAATGCAAAAATCAAAGATAAATTCGAATCCAAGAAATCCCAAATAAACTTAGTACTTACCTTCAATGAGAAATGCCGGACTCAGTGCACTTGTAAAATTCTGCGTTGTACGACGACACTCTCCAGTGCCATTGAGGCCGGCAAAATAAAATAGTGGTAGCTGACTGCAGTTTTCTTTTGGCACATTTGGCTCCGGATGTGAGAGCAGAAAGCCGAGCAGTCGATATGTCCAACCTGATGATTCTTGTGAACCACCCAGTACACTTATGTACCTACACATTCGATAAACACATGTTTTAATGGATTTGGCTCATTACTAGAATTCTTTAGCAATGATACTTACCGCATAGGCGGCAACGGTAGACCGGCTGGACTGTTCGGATATGAAGAAGCTTTAAAAAGAGGACAATCGGAAGATTGCAGATAACAGTAGAAAAACTCATCTGCCAATATTGAACTGGCCACTTCATTGCCTTGGTATTGTTTGCCCGTTAAAGTCTCATAAAGCGCCATGGCCACTATGGATGAGACATTGCGCACCTTCATTTGCAAGGAATCGGCGTCGAAGTATTTTTTATCGTTTATATCAGCCAATATTGTATAATCTTCGCTCGTATTGCCATATATAAAGGCCACATTATCCAAATCATCATATACGGAGTGATAGTATTTATTGCCTGGCACAGCGTTCAAGATTAAAGCCGGAAACTTGGTTTCGCGACGCAAAAAGGATTGCGCTGATGTGGGTGGTATTTGATAGCCCACGTTTGATTCGATGTTAACATTAAAGCCATATCGCGGTGACTTGGCGTATTGGTTGAGCTTTTGCAACAATTGCTGAGCCAGCGGCGTTGCGGTAAGTGTGTGAAGTTTAATATTTCTGATGTCGTCTAATGTGCCAATATCCAGCATAAACTCAATATTTTCAAATGAAATAGGAGTACTATGTGTGGAGCGGGTAGGAAAAGCCAGATGTTCAATGTCGTAGACAAATCGCTGAGACCCAATGTAGTCATAAGACTCGCCATTGAATGCCACAAACAGCACATTGCGTTTCGGATCGGGCAGCGTGCTCTGCGTAGGCAACAGTAGGCGCAACATATGAGCCACATGGGTTAGAGTAGCCAGGCTCAGGAGCGAATCCATTGCGCCCAATCCTAAAAGTGCGACTGTGTAAGTAATCATCAAAAATTATCGCTAACTGCACTTACCCAGACCATCGAACATGCTTGTAGTGTCTAAACGGCAAGACACAATAATAAACTTCTCGTTAGCATTGACTCTGCGTGCAGCATTAGCTTCTAAGTTTTCAGGTGAATTTCGCGGATACAATGTTGCATAAACATTGCGACCTTCCAAGGGATCACAATATTTGCTGCCGCCGAGATTGTTTATAAAATTAGTGCGACGCATGCACACTTCAGAATTAACAGCTGCTGACATAAACGACTTTACTTCCACAGCACAAAGACTACGCAAGGCATGGGACGCATAATCAAAGTTGTTGAATTTTTCAAAACAGCTTTCCAGTTTGTCAATCTCTTCAGCATCAGCTATATAGTAAATGGGAAATGGAAAGTCCTCATGCAGTAGACCAGTGCCCCAAGGATTCCAGGTGTTGCCCACATTGGTAACATCGCAAGTGACGGTCTCGGTTCTGTTGTCCAATTTTAGACCGCTGTACTGATTGGGACAGTTAAGTTCGTGCGAAAATTGATTCATTTTTTTGGGCCTGTTGATTAGCAGCACAACGGATATTATCCTCGGTCCGGCTTCTTTGAGACGTAGCAGGTTGGTCCTTGTAAACAAATGTGGTGGAATCAGGGGAGCGTATGGAGGCGACGGAGGACTACTAAGCAAGAATTCCAAGTCTGCTTCTACATTTATCAAGTGCAGCACCCCAACTGAACCAGAGTATGTTGCTGTTATGGAATACAATTTAAAATTATTATTCTCTTCCTCCGGTCCCTCCGGCAATGAGCTACTTACATGAGCATCCTGTCTGATGAGTGCCGTTTAAGCGCCGAAAGCAGCTTGCGCCTATAATGGGTTGATATATTTTATCACGCGTGCGTTCGCTAATAACTACGGAGAATAACAAAAGGGGCTTAAGTGAGTCAGCAGCAAGATTATGTTTATTTGTACGCTCATCGCTTACATATCTAATGAGCAACTTTTTCTAGCTATGCTTAGAATGCTTACCAATTGCGCTACTTTGAAGCAACAACAGCAGCCATATCGCAGCTGATTTTACCTCCTGTGCCATTTACTTGTTCTTTGCAGCTTATGCGCCAATGCTCCGGCTTTATTATTATTATTAATATATAAAACACAAGAAACTGCACATATGTATTTATAAGTATTTATACGTGTTATTAAGGAACTAGTTACTTATCACAACTATTTAAGTCCCGCAAGTCACAGTTCTCCAGCAATGCTAATGATATTCCCCAAACTCATTTTTGTTTAACATTCTTAATATAGTCGATATATATTAGAGGGATTCATAAAACTGGGTCAGTGGATTTAAATAGCAACCACCTAATTAGCTTCGAAAAAATATTCGAGTCTAGTAGTATTAACGTTAAAAAGTTAAATATTCAAATAATAAAACAAATTTCAGTATTTCAGTTTTCCAATAGTTAAACCTCGAAGTAACTCCAAAGGGCTAGACAGGCGGTAATTAGGAACATAATGTTAACGCAAAAAGAATTTACAGTGCCTATCGATACAAATGTATCGATAGGCGAATTCGTGTAATAATCTTAGAATTGTTTCACGATACAGCACGTGCGCTGCACTGGTATTTTTTGGTGTATTTTTGTAAAAACACATTTTTTATATTGTGCCGCGTTTATTGCTTCACAATAAACATAATGAAACGATTAACAGATGAACGCACTAAGATCCTCTTTGAAAAACTTGCCAAATAGTAAGTAATATAATGCTTAATTAATATAATACTTAAAATTTACCACTCAATTTCAGTATCGGCCCAAACGTACAACAACTAATTGATCGTCCAGATGGCACATATTGCTTCCGCGAGCACCGAGATCGCGTTTATTATGTCTCTGAGCGTATATTAAAACTCAGCGAGTGCTTCGGTTACAAACAAATTGTATGTGTAGGCACATGCTTTGGAAAATTTTCCAAAACCAACAAACTGAAGTTCCATATAACGGCGCTTTATTATTTGGCACCATATGCACAGTACAAGGTTTGGGTCAAGCCTTCCTTCGAGCAGCAGTTCCTTTATGGCAATCACATACCTAAATCAGGCTTGGGCAGAATAACAGAAAACGCTGGACAGTACCAAGGTGTTGTTGTGTACTCCATGAAAGACTTAGCACTGGGCTTTGGCATTCTTGCACGCTCCACTACGGAATGTAAAACCGCAGATCCGCTGACTACTGTTTGCTTTCACCAATCTGATATTGGAGAATACATACGCGCGGAAGATTCGCTATTTTAGTTTTAATGAAAATCGCATTTTAATTGTTATGATCTTAAATTCTATAAGTTTTACCAGTTTTGTAGCTTTAGCCATATTTAGTTGATTTTGAAATAATTAAGTTAAATATTTTCACTAATCAAAATTGGTTAACTTTACACATGGTACGTATAATAACGCTAGAAATTAGGAAATGTTCCATATATTTTCAATTCAACCGGTTTTATCTCTTCTATAGAGATCAGTTTACATTTAAGATTAGTAATGATGGTTAAAAATGTAAAATTCCTTGCTTAAACCGGTTTACCACATTGTTTAAATATTTAGCATATCCTAATCTAGTGGCAAGAACATGTCCAATGCCAAATTGTGTTAAAATTAACAAAATAAAACACATTGGTATTTTGAACGAAAGAACTTAAGTGCATTTTTATACTCCGACCACATAAAGCATTTTAATTCGTTTTTTCTCATTTAGATTGAATTATTAGTGTGGCTGTTTAGAAGAGGCTGCAGCAAGTAGGCTATAGCCACTGCGATCTTAGTTTTCGAAGGTTTGAATTGATGCATTTTGTCGAGGACTTAAGGAATTGAAATTTTGAAATATGTATGATTCATAGCCGGATTAAAGTTTATGTAAAATAAATAAAACCTTAAACCGTTATCTTATTGCTTGATGCACATTTTATGATTCCGTAATCCATTCATTTCTAATAGTGCCCTAAGTTCGTATCGAGTATGGCATAAGGTTGTCTAAAATAAAGGGTTTCTCTATACATCAACAAATTTTCATACATTTGTAAAAATATGTACATAGACTATTTTCAATAGGGGTTTTTAAAGAAAAATTATCAAGAAAGTTGTCCTATTTTTTTTTTTTTTGGAGTGTTTTCAAAAGCACCTCATATCACTCGAACATGGCTTTACCAATTCAGTTAATGTATGTATTGAATGTTTTAAGTTATTTTTAAATAGTTATAACTGTAAACTAGGCAAATAATCTCATTATTGATGAAACAGGCCTGACGACGAGATGAGTCGACTTTGATAGATCCGTCGATCCGTGTGTATCAACGCGTCGATCGCGGGAACCACAGAAACTGGAGACTATAAAATCTTAGTATGTATATATATATGTATTATCTCGTAGCATTTGTTAAATATCGATGAAACGACTTGACTTTTTAAGCATTACTCAAATTTACTTGTGTTTTAAGTGCTATTTATTGACGACTTGACAATTTGTTGAGCAAAATTTTTAAAATAAATTTAAAGTACAGTTAACAATTAAATAATTTGTATTTATTTACCGCAATCAACGAATAATGATTAAGTCAACTTAAACACACCTGTTGTGGCGTTAGATATAAACCTGGCCGTGCACAGGAAACTGATGGCAACCAAAAAAGCTTCCGAACAAAGCTTTTTGTTTAAAAACAATGTCAAGTGTGAGCTTTTTGGTTTAGCGAAATGCCAAAGAGTAATTTAGCATTGGAAGAATATTGCTACCATCTTGTATCCGTAAATAAAAAGCAAGCAAATACAAATTCAATGAATCATAAAATATGATTGTGTAATTTTATTACTTTGTAAAATAAAATATATTTTTTAGATTCCGTTTCATAAAATCATGCATTCTTTTCTTATTGGAAATTGACGCAAAGGTTTTGACAGCCCGGCTAGCTCAGTCGGTAGAGCATGAGACTCTTAATCTCAGGGTCGTGGGTTCGAGCCCCACGTTGGGCGAAACATTTTTTGCTGTTCTTTTTCCTTTAAGGAAGTTTTAAAATTCTGGAGCGATAAAATATCTCTGATGATTAGTCCTATACTCGCACACACAAATCAAGAAAAAAAAAACGACACTTTATAGAAGCTTGGATTATTTAAAATACTTTTCCGATTCGATGCATGTGTCAACGCAAGATATGTTCTATGTTGCTTGTATTTTAAAATTGATATCGGTAAGCGAACGTGACCGGTTTAATAATATTCTCTAGATTGTAGAATAAAACAGGATTTTTTTAGTTTTAATTTTATTTAATAAAATTAAACAGCTACGGAAAAATATTGCTTAATGGGCAAGACTTAATTATAAAGTACAAAATGTTTTTGGATGCAACTATGGTATTTTGAAAGCAAAGTCGAGATTCACATGTCCTTTAGATTTGAACTGTGAACTACATATTAAAAGTTTTCCACGTGCATACATGTTAATGTTGTCATAGTTAATTGAGAAATTTGTACCTACAATTACAGAATATATTTTGAATTTATTCCGTGCTTTTATTTATTTGATTTATGTTGGACATACAGACAACTTATATGTTTTGCTATTATTTTTTTTATATAAGTGCTAAGTTTTCTACATATTAAATTGAATAAAATTTTATTTCAGGCAACATTTATTCATTAATGTTTTAAATAAGTACTGCCTATTGTTAGGGGATTTATAAAAAACCATTAATATAATATAATATAATATAATATGTATACGATGTATAACGCGACTTGTGTGAGAAGCGAATAAATTTGACGGTGGTACTTATGAAACTTATAGAATATAACAACATTTAGGCTAATGACTACAAAAATGTGGCGTTTCACCATTTGTATAGCTAATTTAATAGCTTACTGAATTTAGAGAGCACTATTGGAGCATTTAAAGTTTCGAACTATGGTTGTTGATTTATTGAGGCACATTCGATGGATCACCTAAAGACATTACCGTAAATATTAGATTGGGATTGGTTAGCCGTGGTTTAAGAAGCCTTCTAGAAATGCTTTCTCATGCTCATATGAGCCGAGAAAAAGAACGGTGTCAGCAAAGAGACGATGGATACCAAAAGGTTAACCAGATATTGATGATTAGCTTAAAAATATCAAACGAAAAATTACATTTTCAAGTATTCAATGGAAATTTGCATTAGAACTCACCACCACTGCAAATGTCATGCAAAATGTCCTCCACATAGCCATTATCATTATCACAAAGACACAGTTTGGTTTTACTGGACATGAACTTGGAAACTCCAATGGTGCGATTATTGTTCTCGAATTGACAAACCATCCCATCTTCACACTCGTGATTGCTGTTGCATCTATGTCGCAGACCTGCAAGGGGACACACACTTAAGTAACTCAATTTATAGAATTCAATCTATAGGAACTAATCTTTAAACACAAGTACGATATTGCTTTAAATGTGAGTTATGTATATATGTAATATATATTTTATAAGTGGCTACTTAAAATAATAAAACTAAAACTAGTTATTTAATGCAATTGTTCGATTGTATTCTTGCCTTTCCAATTAAATTATTAAATATTTATTTCTGCATTAATTAAGACGGCGTAATGACTTTATCTACTCTATATATGTAAATGCAATGGGGCAGCTGATTTAAATGTATTAGAGCCAAAGTTTCGTCCACACAGAATATAATTGCTTTGAAGACTTTTTCTTATTTATATATGTATATATATAAATATATATAAAGTACATTGGTATGGTATAATTTTATGAACAATCATACATACTTAAAATGTCAGTATATTAACATGTAATATGTAAGTATATTTGCAATATTCTGAGCTGTGCATGTCACAAATTGGCACTGCGGCGATTTCATGCCTTGCCGTTTGAGTCACGACATTCTCAAATAAATTTGACATTACGCTACCATAACGAAAATCTCTCCTGAGGTCGCTTTCAATATCGCATCTTGTATGTAGTTAGTAATGTTACAAAGCAATGGCAAAACAATTACAACAGCAAATAATAAATAAGCAGGCTGGGCTATTATACTAATATGTCATATAGCTTCCAATAGAACTGCACTTCAAAATAGTTAAATAAAACTAACAAATTTAAGGTTGGCTGGTATTGGCTTCGTTTTTTGGAGTAATTTTAGTAACAAAGCCAGCAAGCGACAAACAAACTTTTCTTCACAAATCCAACTACCAAGTGTGAAGCACTTCATTAATTCATTTTCACGAAGGTCATTAAAAATGAGTTAAAGGCCGAGCGGATGACACTTACGATATTCACAATTCTTATGTGATTTTATAATAAATATAGTCTGATAACTATGGTGAGATTGTGTTTCTAACTTAGGCTGAAATCTTGAAAAATTAAAAGGGCTCCATCTGTAAAATGTTTGAGAATGATGTACATATATGATGTTGCTTTGTTTAATTCTCATTTGCAACCCCTTCGTACTTGAGTTACTGACAAACAAAACAGCTTGCTGCCAAGAGGTTGGGCTCTTGAATTATAAATGTAATGTGCATGCCTCCCAATTAGGTACGTGCTAGCTAAGGCATTCACTTGGCAGCGAAAATGAAAATGTTTCTACCTTTGAGCACATCTGGACAGAGTCCATTCGAGGGCGGCGAATCATCTCCACACAGGCAGCGCATCTTGTAGTCATTCGGATCCTTTACACAACTGGTGCGTTCTGTTGTTGAGCAGTCATCGTGGGTGCTGCACTCGCGACCTTTGACTGAAAAGAAAATAGGTCAACGATACACAAGTTTATGATTCTATAGGCTCAAATTTTGATTATCTTTATATATAAAACTATGTCCTGACTGACTGACTGACTGACTGACTGACTAAATGCTTAACCCTATTAGTTACCCTATATGCATGACAAGACGTAGTTTTGGGAAATTTCACCACAAAGTGACTGATCTGATTTTTTCATAGTTCTCATAACAACCAACCCTCTTGGATAGAAAAGCCAGGTCGAAAGATCTTTGTGAGAATGTATCTGATAATTGCCTAATACTTTCCGCAAAATCCACTCTATTTGTTTGAAAGATGCGAAAAAAGGGATGGGTAAAGTTTCCGTTGGAAGCTGAATAGATAAACATAATGTATACAATTTGAAGAACGGCTCTATTCCTGATTCTTGATACCGGATAGTCATTAACAATATATTTACATATCAGCACATTCCGTCCCGCCTATCTTGGCTTAGACTGCGCGCGATACTCCGATAATTTGAGCGATTTGTCAGCCATTAGCATTGTTGTCATTGCATTTGATTGACTTGTTTGATCAATTTCTGATTTATGCTGGAGTTCAAAGCCGGAAAAACGGTTTACTTATTTGTACGAGCTAGTCGAGCTGTCAGACATGGCATGTCATTAGGCGCTAGGGGGCTGAAGCAGGGTAACGCTCATTTTTTGGTATTAGAGAAGTAAGATTGTTATTTCTTGTGATTTGTTTGAACAACAAGATAGTACTGAAATTCCATGGGCCTTATATTTCTTGATTCTTGACATATTTGGAATTTTTATAAAAATCATGTATACATATACATATATACACCTATACCTTTTGGAAAGACGTTGTTTTAAAATAATAAAAATTATTAAAAAAATAAATAATGCATATATAATATGTAAAGGTCAATTGAATATCTTAAGCAAACTATTATTATTATTATTATTATGTATTATGTATCTAAGGGTATTGCGTTTTTGGCACTCCAAGAAATGTACTACTTTTCTTTTTTAAATAATTTCAAATTCCGTAACATACAATTTTTTATATAGTACATACATATCTAGCAGCCACAAAATAATATGCGACGGTAAAAAACGATTTCAAGTGAAAATAAAATTCTGCTATTGCTAGAATTCCTTTACCTTGGCTTCGTCTACGAGTTCTACTTACTTATGGGACCTTGCGTGGGCGGCGGTTGATTATTGGTCTTGCCGAATGTAGTTAAGGCCGTGGAGCTCACCCCAAAGAGTATGATGAAGACTCCAAAGAGCATAGTTAGGCTGCCACACTGTGTGAAACGCTTCAAGGGCTGCATTTTGGTGCACTTTCAGCGAGCGTGAGTGGGCAAAATTGGGCGCCAAAATACAGCTTTTATATAAATTATTTAATCGCTTACTACAGCAAGAGAGTTCGCACGCACTATATCTTTGAAGAAGAGTCTAAATGTTTTTATAGTCTGCGCTGTACTTTAGCAACAATTTTTGCACAACAATAATTGTGAGCACAAGATAACAAATTGCTTTAATCCGTTGATTTAGTCAGAAACTGTGTGCTCAGATAAAAGTATTGTTACCAAGCAACTAGGCAATAGATTTGTACACCTTATAGTTCACTCTTTTATTCGGATATCCTAAGGATCTGAACCAACAAAGCAACGAACCAGTCGCCTGCGCGTTCGAAATTCAAGTGATGAATTTCCTGAGGCACACGTAGCTTAAGTTTTCTACACTAACTGCACGGTACGGCTCAACGGCTCGAAGGGGACTTACTACTCTCTCGCGCTGGTCCGCGGGCCTACCCTTGAGCCCCAGTCCGCTCTCATGGAGCACCTAAATTTACTAAACCCGACTACGAAGCTTGCATACTCTCACAGAGCTTAAGCCCAAAGTGCTTTTAATAAAAATATATATTTATATGCGACGACAGCACGTTGTCCCATGTTTTATGTTTTACTTGTATAAGATTATTTGTTATATTTTTCAGTTCGTCTTATTAAATCATTGTAAACTAACGCCCTTAACTAACCTTGATGGGGGTTGAGGGCGTGGAGGGGCGTCTTCGAATTCAAGGTGGGCTACACCGTCGCGACGATGCGAAAATCTGAGGCGTCCTTTGAACTTTGCTAACTCGAAATTTGAATTTGGTCGCATTTCAGAGTATCTATATATATATATATATATGTATATGGTACATGTATGTATGTGCTCATAAACTGAACTGTAACGCACTTGTGCTGGCTTCGTGTTAGTTGCGTTAACGAAGACGAATTTTTTTTGGATTCTTACCTTCGTGCTATTTTTTTTATTGTTGTTGCGTTAAAGTCGATGCGGCCTCGTGGCAGCCTCGTCCTCGCCCTGGTGTAACTCTATGTGTGTATTATTATAATGGCGAAGTCATTAGAGCCATTGCATAGCCTAGTTTTGAAACCTTCATCTAATACGTGCACAAGTCACACACAACAATAAAGGGTGGCATTAGCACGCACAACAACAACAACAACAACAACAACAGCAACAACAACAAGAACATCAAGAGTAACCAGTTTTGCTAAAACAACATCAAATACTTATTTTAGCCATTATTTTTGTTCTTCTTTGGCCGGTTTTCGGGTCGTGGCTCTAATTACATTTCACTTGCACTACCATCAATTCTGAGTGGGCGCTTGTTGCTTTCGGCTCTCTTGGAAAGGTTGCGTGCCACGCCCACAATTTGAAATTGCCAATTTTACAAATCAGCATTTGCATATCGAATAAATGGATTTCACGAAGGCAAAAAAAAAAAAAAACACCGTGTTCTATCCATGTGCATACTATCTCAGCTCTTCATCAAGTAAAAGATCGGAATCGTTCTAGTAAACGATTGTTTTTTTTATCGGGCTAGATCAAACAGCTATATAATATATATATATATAATAATATAAACAAAATATATTCGAAAATCTTTGGTACCCCATTAAAATAAGTCTCATACATTTATGTGCCATATAGCTCTCTCGTAAAATGGAATGTATATATATATATTTCTGTTTGGCATTATTGATAAGTTTTCTGGCGCAAATCCTAGCAAAATTATACAGAACTAGCACGAACTTGCCAAAAGCCACAAGAAAAGGAATAAATTCAAAATTGGATAGCTGCAGCTATATACGTGGAGCCCAGTAATTAAAGAAACATTTCTTTGTCCACAATCTGGCTGCCATGTTATTCTTAACTGATGATTAATTAGTGCGACATAGCCAGCAAATGGAAAGTGCCCAACTGAGCGAGTATATAATTTCCTCACGAAATCTGTGGAGTTGGCCATGAGCATGCCAAGGGGTCATCATGTTTACGCAGTGAAACCAGAAACCCAACCCATCCACATCAACTCTTGAGTGAACGCTAATTTTGGGTACTTTAATTTCATATTATCGTCAAGTCTAATTGCACCTAGACCCAGAATATTCTGTTTCCGAGCCGTATTCTAAATGCTCCGGTTTCCTACATGCATATTAAGTAACTCTATTCGGATCAATTACAAGATAAGGCATGCGAAATAGAAGTTAACAATTGTTTCGAATTCTTTTTGTTTTACGTCACACTCGGTTTCAATTAAATTCGTTCAAATTCATTTCCACCTCCTTGGTGGAAATGGGAGTTCAAGATTTGGGCTGTGGGATTTCGGGCTCAAATTCATTTCTCAGAATCTTTAAGAGAATTAAAGCTTCCTTGGTGAAAAATGCGATTATTTGGTTGAAGTTTCGATTCACACTTTTCGCAATTTCCGACCCGTAGTTAAAAGTTTCGCCCGTTTCGTAGCCTGTTGAAATTTATTTGGTTCGGTTCTTTACAATATTCTTCGCTTTTAGATGATTCCAACTTACGGGTCTTTATTCGGTGGATCTTAAATATATTTAGATAGAAGTGGAGCTCAGTCTTAAATTTTCATTCTTACGACCACAGTACACAACCCTTAAGGCCAACTTAGCACTGCAAAGAAGCAAACAAATATACATACCTACACACTTCTGAGTCTACATGTATGCATACATAGGCATTTTATATACATATGTATGTAGGGTCCAGTGAGTTTTATATTCCATGGGGAGACTAAGCAAGGCCTGTGGGCAGTTTTTTGATTTTTCGCATTATTATTCGTGTGCGCAGAGAGTAGAGGCATTTGACCTTTAAACATAAAAGGAAACACCAAAATAGTGAAAACGTTCAAGCCTTGTGCAAAAAATGTGAAAGCGCACGAAATAGATTAAATAATTCCTGCGTAATTAAATAAATACAGTCATACAACATTGCCATAATTGTGAATAGCTGCAAAATTAATTGACTTCATCGGCATTTCCCTCCTTTCAATATAACTCAATAGAATTTATTTATTTTTAAATTAAAAGCTAACACAAAGGGGGATGTCACTTGAAGGTCCAGCCGTCTTATTTTTTAATATATTAAAAAAAAAAACAAGAGCTAATGGTGGAGAATAGAAGAACTATAGAGAATAGAGAACTTTAGTCCGATGAGCTACACCCAAACTAAGCTTGGTCAGTGAATCGTTGGGGATTACTGAAACCGAAGATTTCATTAGTGGAACAGAGAGTTCAGTGGAGAAGATGTGGCAAAGGATGTTCTTTTGCAGGCATGAGATACGAAATAAGTCATGAATAGGAATGGGCAAAAGCGACGATCAGATCAAGTTCATTTCAAATTTATACAGACTAGCTATATAAGCAAGACTATAACTAATTAGCTAAGGTTACCTTGTGATGTTTATTGTCTTAAAAGTTACTCGTTCCGATAACAAATATAGCGATTTGGATTTTAAAATATTTACTCATTTTACACATTTTAAAATAATGAACATACCAAATTGTCCATTCTGTAGGACTTCTTCGAATCTATATGGGTTAAGCAGCCCACCATTTGTTGAAGATATATGAGATTCTTATTTATGTTTGTTTCAATCAATGGAGTTGCAAGAGTTGATGCTTAGAATTCTGTTGCATCCAGAATTAAATAAATAAATTTAATTTTTGGTCTTTTTAAGAATTCTTCGACAAACCGACAATTAATTACCTTTGCAGAAATACGACTGTTTTTTTATTATAGACAAAAGAGGTCCCCACACCATATAACATAAAATATTATTATTTTATTTAATTCATTTAGGTTTTTATGAAATTAAAATAGATCAGATTCTTTTTTTTGCTTTTCATTTTGCTTGACTTGACGAAGAAATACAAAATAGAGCATTTGATTGTGTGTGCCTTTTGCTACTGTATCCACAAAAGGGTCTACCAAAAAACCAAACCAACCCATTGATAAAAATATATCTTCAACCGGTGTCAAATTGAGGTCTCTGTGGAAGATGGAGTTGCGGACGAGTTAGATATATCCAGTCGTCTCGGTTGGGATTAAGATCAAGACGTATGACCTCTTATGGCAGGCTTAAATCAAGTTTTTCTTGTTTAAAACTCGAAAGCTTTCACCTTTTTATTTGCCTATACACTATTTTGGAACCTAAGTACAAGTGGGGGTTACCTAGTGTCAAGTACTTTCGAGCTGTAAATTACTCCAATAATAGCTTACAACAGATTATCTATCGATTGATTTTTAGACGAGAATCCTCATTCTAACTCGGAAATTCAAGAAGATTCGCCACGCTTCCATTGGGCCTAAACATATTATCAAGTGATCCAAGTGTCTAGCTTTTCACTTTGCGAACGACTGCAGGAATAAAATCTATACAATTTACACAAAAGTTCAAAGCCGTGCACCCTGTATGTCAAGAAACATGCAAATATGTACGTGCATACAAAAGTGAAAGTTCTCAAAGAACCAAAACACAAACAGCCCAAAAATTCGAAAATTAGAAACGAAAAAATCAATGGCGCATACGAAAAGAAAACTCTTGTAACAATTTCAAGCAATGCGCTCGGTCCTAGTCCTGTGAGAAGGATAATGGTGAAGAACGAAATGCGCGATTAAGCCACGCTGAGTACGGGAAACGAGTTCGTTTCGAAGTATGTTTTGGCCACGAGCGACTGTTTCATACAGTACCACGAGCCCCATAATATGCCTAGGTTTCTTGGTTGTTGACTCTGTAATATTGATGACGGCTCAGGTGCACGCCATCCATGACATCACCACAGTCCTCCCATTTCTGTTGCACGGCCCGTACTAGTCCACAATTAGTGTGAGTGCTGAGCGCCTAAGGCACATATAAAAATTTACCGCCAACAATTGCTTAGGTGAGGTGAGAAGAGCTGAACGGGAAGCCCAACCTATAGTTATGCTAATAATTAAGAACGCACAACCAAAAGTCTACAAGCACATTCCAAAAGTCTGCTCAGAGAGCTCAAACAAAAACAGATAGATTTAATATTAATAACTTAATTTGGAAATAGCTCTGATATTTTTACATTTTTTTTTTTTTTTAAGAAGGCCGTACAACATAGTAGCTAGCATATGTTATACTAGCGGGTACAATCCGGAATGTTTCTGATGCTGCTTACCTTTTTGCTTATTTTTTCCAACATACTCCGCTGTCTGTCCTAATATTAATTTTTACGCTCCTACTATATCACATTCCTCTTTCATTATTTCTATAAATTCTTTAAAGTCTTTTTACTCTCCTGGCCCTGACAATATTCCTAGTTGTCTATCGCTTGAATCTTCTGTCTTTCCATCTCTTTGGAAAG